TGTGTGTGTGTGTGTGTGTGTGTGTGTTGTCCATGTAATTTTCCTAAATAAAAATTTTTTACCTTGTTATCATATGGGTTGTATATTATGTTTTACACTTAAAGCAGTCACTTTTAAGCTGATAAAATCTTAATTTTGATAGCATATAACAACTCCACACTGGGCCAGCAAGATAACTCAGTGGACTAATCACCTGTTTAGGCAAGCACTAGGACTAAGGTGTGATCCCTGGCAACACAGGCATTGCTGACCCCACCCCTGGGTGCGCTGAGCCAGCAACCTAGTCTGGGGGTGGTGGTGCATGCCTATAATCCCAGTGTTGAGGAGGCTGAAAACAGGAGGATCAGTAGAAGTCCAAGTTGCATAATGAGACCCTGTGCTAAATGCATTAAAAAATAATAATAACAACAACTCCACAGTACTGGGCCCTCCTTCAATTTATAATTTTGACATTATAAATGTATTTATAATTTTGACATTATAAATTGTATTTACATCAATTTGCATTGATAATTTCTTTAACTGTGGTTGTTGATGTATTTTAACTATTTTTATGTGGAAATAATTTTTTATTTTGACCTTTGTCCTAGGGATAAAATTCTTGTACATATTGTCATGTAGTCTTACAATAGTCAGAACATGGCTCCGATTCATTTAAAATTGAGTTTGTCCTTTCCTATGTTCCACAGTACTAATGAGTATCTCTTGTGCATTTTTTTCTTTGTCTGACTTTTGATATCAGTATGTGCCTTAGGTGTTCTTCTCTTTTATTGGAAATTTTCTGGAATGTTTTATGCCTTCTGTATATTTTGTCATCTATCCCAGGTTAAGGAAGGTTTTTTTTTTTTTTAATGTATTTAGTGCAAGATCTACAGTGTTTCACTACACAGATTGTACTCATAGTGATCCTGTTTTTAGCCTCTCAAGCACTGAGATTACAGGCACCCCCAACCACATTCAGTCTCAGTCTCCTTCTCAGCGCACCCCTGAGGCAGGGCCAACATAGCAGGCTGGGATTTTCTTTTAGTTTTCTCTTATTATGCAATTATCTGATTTCTTAATGGTGTCCTATTGTTTCTGTGTCTCTTGTCCATAATTGTTATTTCCATGGTGTACAATCTTTTGAAAACTTGTGGCTATAAGAAGTTAATACATGGTTTTAGTTTTGTTTTTAATGTATCTTGGACATCATGCTTTGTAATATAAGTTCTCTCATTCACAGTTTTTCCTTTATAATTGGACTCTGAGTTCCTTTCTAAAATGATTGAGTTACCGATGTGAGTTTCAAAGCATTCTTTTGGGGCTGGAGAGATGGCTCAGTGGTCTAAAGCACCTACTTAGAACAAGCTTAGCAAAAGCATCAGGGACCGCGGTTCAATCCCCCAGCACCACATGGCCAGCCAGCCCGCCCCCTGGTGGGCTGAGCTGGCCTCTCTCTCTCTCTCTCTCTCAAATAAATAAATAAATAAAATTTAAAAAAAAACAAACAAAGCATTCTTTTGGTTTTAATTTTTACTGAATTTTAAAATTTTGTACTATATTCATGGGGAGGGCGGGAAGTTTCTCCAGCTGCTTGTTTGGGACTTGACATTTCTTCTGTGCATCTCATTTCTTTGTGGGCTGTATGGTTGATGCTACCTTCTGAGGTACACAGGCTTGAGATGCATGTGTCAATCCTATAAAAGCAGAAGACTGTGCTGCAATGATCCAGTCAGGAGAAAAGTTTGACTCTTGGGGCCTGGAATCTTTACTTTGGTAATAAGAAGGCCTGGCAAAATCCAGGTGAAAAGAGCTCTGTGCTCACCCTGAGTTTCATGGTTACCTTAAACAAAGGATGCATATTGTTTCATATCTCCATATATTTGTACTTAAAGATACTCATTTTCAGAAAAAGCAGCTTGAATTATTTTCCTTTTCTCATAATGGATGGTAAAAATGTTGGAAATGTTCAAGTGTAATATGAAGAAGACAACTATTGGGTTGCAGACATTCTTCATATGAATAAGATATAATAAGTTATCAGCAAAACGCATCTGGTGTGTTTATTGGATATATTATGCTCATTCATTCTTTCAATAAATACATACCCAATTAAAACCCAACAGAAAAGCATTAGAAAAGAAGGATAAAATAGAAATAAAAATTTATAAATAAAGGTGATAAAGTGGTTGAAAGGAAGGGAGGGGAATGGGAAAAAAAGAAGGAAGACATCATGTACAGCTATGAATTCTTCATGATGAATGTCATCATTATGCATATCTAAGCACATCAAAAGATGCTCTGTCTATCTTTTGATTATAACCAGGAATTTCCCTCACAAACAAAGACCTTGAATCAGCCAAGTGTGTATCTGGAATGTAAATTGTGCATGACCATTTCTTCTCAGATGCCGGAGCCCCCACTTACATGTATGAGTTCCAGTATCGCCCAAGTTTCTCATCAGATTTGAGACCCAAGACAGTGATAGGAGACCATGGGGATGAGATCTTCTCAGTACTTGGGGCTCCATTTTTAAAAGGTAATGGTGTTTTGCTTGCCCAAAACTTAAGAGGCGTGGGTTTTAGTTTTTGTGGGATGACTTTGAACAAATTCCTACTCTTCTGCTCTTAAGTCCCTAATTCTCAGTTACAGAGTTGAATTATGCAAGTCAGAACATAGCATTTTACCTGTTCACATTAAGGAAGATGTGTACTCATGTATACAGTCATGGGAACCCTCACAGCACAGAGAAGAAACGGGCCATTCCCTCTCACTAGAGCCTATCAGAAGAGTAACAAATTTACAATTAGTAAACTTTTGGACTCAATAGGATCTTGAATCAAAGGTTTTCTTATTTAACTATAGTTTTATGTATCTAAAAGTCATATATTTTCACCTAAAATATATGTCATAATATTGCATTAAATGAAATCTTTTCTCAAATATATTTGGTGCTCCAGTACCTGTTGACTTTTAACCCTCCTCATGTCTGCTCATGACAGTAGCGCTGGACACATCCCACTTAGGATCTTTTGAGATATGATATTTTTCAAGCTGTGTGAAAATGTGAACATGTGTAGAAAATAAAAAGGGACACAACATTCAGCAATTTTATTACTCACAGGAAACACTGTTAAATAACATTGACTCCTGGGCAGAAGTAGTGGACACAGAAGACAAAAACAGGCAGCATACAAATGGAGCTCATGTCTGTGGCTAGAATATAGGAAAGGCCAAGTGTCTGCATTTTCAATGAATTCTGAGAGCCATGATTGCTGCTGGCCTACACTTTGTGTGCTAAAATAATATTTTTAAATTTCTTCTGTACAGATGGTGCCTCAGCAGAAGAGATTGGCCTTAGCAAAATGATGATGAAATTCTGGGCCAACTTTGCTCGGAATGGGTGAGGCTCTGGGAAGAGGTGGATCAGGGTTGGTAGCAGCGTATGGTTGGGCACACCTGCTGGTTTTGGGAATCTGTTATAGTTAACATAATCAAACCCAGCCCCTGGGACCATAGCACTGTGACAGTAAGAACTCACTCTAAAAATGTAAGGTATCCCAAGAGATGTGACTTCCTGTCTCTGGAGTTGTCTCAGTCTCTTTGTAGAGATGAGCTGAGTGAAATGAGAAAACTTCAGAACATTGTATGTCATATGAAATCCTCTGGAGAATTTCTCTCTGATTCCATTCCCAGGAACCCCAATGGCGAGGGGCTGCCCCACTGGCCAGAGTATGACCAGAAGGAGGGATACCTGAAGATTGGCTCCACCACTCAGCCTGCACAGAGACTGAAAGAAAAAGAAGTAGCTTTCTACAATGAGGTTCTAGCCAAGGAGCTACTGGAGAAGTCACACCAGAAAGAACACATAGAGCTCTGAATAGAAGGCCTAACAGGCATTGGGAACCTGCATCAGTCAACACAGGTGTATTTAAAGAAGGCATTTGTTGGTTCAAGCTATATTTCATTGTAGATCATAAAAAATTGTTTGTTGGGGGTTGGCAGAATCCAGGGATGGGGAATGTCTGTACTGTGGCCTGAACTTGAAATTAAAAGTTATTTTTCAAACAAGAGTCAGTATCTGTGTCTTGAGCTGGAGATGAATTAATCATCCTCATAAAAAGAATGGTGACTAGAGATACCACAGGAGGTAGATGCCTTTGCAGTAGTGACTTGATAAATGGCTACCTGAAATCTTAAGGAAGATGAGCCATTGGAGGAGAGAGAAGAAGTGAACACTGGTCACCTTCCTCACACACATCATTTTAACAACCATTCTTGTGAATATTACTCTAAAACATTTGTGAAAGTGACAATTGCGAAATGCAGACTAGTATAAAACATAAAAATCATTGGGCACCATTGAGCCACGTGGAAATTTGCACCCATCACAGTCCCTTCTCCATGGCCATCTCTCTGTCATGGGAACATGAGAAAGATTAGGGAGGTGTGAAGACTGGAGAGAGCCTGTCTCTAGCACACAGGCATGAAACCCTTCTCAGACCATTTTCTGCTAAGGAAGAGAATTGTAAAATAATTGAAGAAACAACATAAAATGTTTTTTTTCCTAGGGTCGCTGGTGGAGACCTATTGAGGTGGAAAAATAAAAATTAAAATTCTGTCCCTTGTGTCTAGGTATAGATTCCTCAATGAAGATCTTTGGAGATCTTTACCTCCTAAGGAGGGGCAACTGTGGGACAGGGGATCTCCTCTTTCGGGCTAGAACAATATTATAAAAAGCATTGCTCAGGACAAGCACAGACTCCTACAAAGTAGTAGAGATATACTTGTTCCATGTTAAAGCCTTAGAGAAACCATTTATGGAAAAGACTATAAAATATGAAAGTTAGTAGTTTAAATTATGAGTTGTAATGTTTTAAAATTTCATTTAATTGATATCTCATTATTTGAATGGATACTATGTTTGTTGAAAGATAGATGTTGTATACAGAGGATACTTACTAAAGAGTTTTTAAAAAGGTCTGCATAATAAACAGATATGGAAGATAAAATGGAGTTATTAAAAATTAATTGTCAAAGAAAGCAAATAGGTAAAACAAAAACAAAGAACCTATAAAGAAAAAGGTGTGTTGCTGAAAAGTAAATGTGATTAAACCCATTAATGAAAAGAAACCATTTGTTTGGGTTTAAAAGTCAAGCCCAAACAATGTTCTGTACCATAGGAGACATTATTTTTTAAAATATCTGTCTGCTGAAAAATTTTAACCTAGGTACTCCTATGACTTTTGAACCTTTATCTGGAGAAGCTGATAAGAAAGCTTGAGTACTTATTTCCATGGTGCCAGGGAAAGATGCAAAGCTTATCAGTCTCACCATGGTCCTTTCCCCAACCACATCAGTGCCCCAGCCATTCTTTTCCTACCTGCCTTTAAACCACCTGGATCAGATTACAGGCATGGGCCCTCATGTCCAGCTCTGCAAATCCACTTTTTAGAAAAGCTACACCTCTTCATACTACTTAGAAATCAGAATTCATGTAACATTTTTCAGTCATGTCAGTATTTTCATCATGATACAAACTTAGAATATCTAATCATCTTATGTTTGCAAAGTAACCTACTTTTAAAAAGAAAATTACCCCCCATTTTCTTCAAATAATTTTGGGTCCAATTTATTAAGTTACAAGAAAACAAATCTTTAGGGACAAACTACAGCAAAGAAACAATCCTCTGTGTTTTGCCTAATGGGTGAAAGAAGGCAGCAGTGTAATTGGGAAAATGGGTTTCTTCCTAGTAGTGGGTCCTGGGCTGTTGGTGATTAGGTATTGTGGAACTTGGGTGGAATATGAACCATATTAAATGGTTTAATTAGAAATGAGTATCATATATAGTGTCATTTCTCTGTAGCATTTGGAAAGTCCTAAAGTATTGTCCATCACCTGAAAAAGATAAACTCACTGCATTTTATTTTTTCTCTAATCTTTGTACTTTTAGGGAAAATTCTTAAAGAGGTTCAGATAAGGCATAAAGGAGCCCCTCCTCCCAGGGCTCTTGGTTTGTTATCTTCTACTGAGAACACTTTGTATTCTCCAACTTTTCCTCACTTCTGAAGTAAGGGCTGCTCCTTCTCAGCCTCAGCAGCGACAGAGGGAAAAGGAATTTTGACTCAGGCCTTGCTCCTGGGATGCTGACCTTTATGTGCTGCCCCAGATAAATCAGTGTCAGAAGACTCTAGTCTCCCACAGCTGGGATCAATCCCACTGAGTCATAGTTCCTGTCTCTGATATCTTCTGTTGAGAATTCACCTTATTCATATGCTGGGAAAGGAAATGCAGAGAGACGAAAACTAACACAATGGTCTTGCCATTGAATGTGTCAGAAGAGAAACTGGATTCACTGATGAAGTTTTTGCTGCACTCCCAGGATGGGTTAGAGCTGGATAATGGAGTGAAAGGTGGGTAGGAGGGGAGACAGCATTGCTATGATTGAGCCATTGCTATTAATGTGCAGAATACAGTGGAACCAATCCAGACAGCCACATGGATATATTGATACTGTTGCTATGGAACAACTTAGAAATCTGGCTTTTATACATGACCTGTGTGAAAGGTTTAAAAACAATCCAGGGCCTGCTGATAGCTTAGTGGATGAATCAGCTGCTTCAGCAAAAGCAAGGATCAGGTTCAATCACTGGCACCACGTGCTTCACCGGCTTCACCCATGGGCATGCTGAGCCTGATACTTAGTCCAGGTGTGGTGGCACATACCTATAACCCCATCGCTGGGGAGGCTGAGACCAGAGGATCACTACCAGTGCAAACTGCATAGTAACATCCCGTATCAAAAACATTCTTTTATATTAATTTTATTGAGAAAAAAAGTAGCAATGATACAGTTTCAAAGCAGGTTAGCAGGATAAATACAATAATTAATACACTGCATATTGTCCTTGTGGTAGTTCTTCATAGTACAAGATGCAGATAGCTTGTCTAAACATTATTAGTTCAAATTTTTCTTCTCATTGAACTAAGATAAAGTAGCTGTATATCTATGCAAACTATTTTGTATATACAGATACAAAATGGTCCTTCATTTATATCCCCCTTTATTGTTTACATTTGTCAGAGATGGGTATTCCATTGCCATTCAAATACTATAGATGAGTGAATTCAGCAAAATAATGCAATATAGCCCAATAGTCTATAATAGTACTGGGTATGACTGACAATTGTCAGTTATTGAGTTGAGCCTTTTACCTCTCAGCATAGTAATATGGCTTTCCTTTTTATACCTCATGTTTATACTTTTCTGCTGGATGGCTAAAAGCAAGACCTATATAACAAAAATGTGACTTTTTATGTGCCAAGGTCAATCAAATCCCCTCAGGATTTACCCTGAATCCCCATACAGCACTGTGAAGATCTTATTTCAATGTCAGCCATGTGGATGAGTTACAGCCATTGCTTGACCAACTGGCTCTCTGAGAAAGCCTGAGAAAATGTTTTCTCTCTGGGTGATTCTCCTTATGCACACTCTACAGCTTCAATCACTTTCCTCCGTGGACCCATAATCTACTTTATCAGAAAATTTCAGACACCACTGAGTTACAGAATGTTACAGTACAGATACTCTCATGTCCTGAGTCCTCACTGAACTTGAAGAGCTAGGGCAAACATGTTGGCTAGGTTTGTAGACCTTGTTTTTCTCTAATTTTTTGATCTGCAAACTTAGGTTGTTAATTGTCCAAAAGAGAAGCTTAATGATATTATTACCCTAAATCATAGGCTGTGGGGTTTAACATTATATTAAATGCCTTAGATATAACATGGCGCAGGTATTTTCCATCAATCATTGATATCCTAAACTTTAAATCCATAGAGAACGTAAAAAATATAAAAAAGATTGTAAAAAAGTAGAAATAAATAATTAGAAATTTTACACAGAAATTTAGAAATGTAGCCAAATACCACATTGTAGCATGACAGTCCTATGACATTTTTCTCTTGTCTCTTGTTCTAATTTATTACCTTTATTAAAACAAACATTTACTTGAGAGACAGAAATTGATATGACATTAAAAGCAGTTCACTTTTAGAAGGCCAGAATCAGAGGGATTCCAAACATAACCCAAGTATTACACATTGCTGTCTTCAGTGCAGTTGCTTAGATCACAGGTATCAGCATATATAGTTAATCAGGGTGAGAATACTACCAATTAACTGCTACTTTCAAAAACCTGATGGAGATTCTCAGAATCATTACCTTAACCACCTTTTGTATATAAATGTATGGCTTTTCCCTTGCCATGTTTCCTAGCTTTTCTCCTTGCCCTCTCTTCATTGTTTAACACTTAAGTTCTCACTTTCCATTTAGCTGTGTTATACCTTTGAATTTTTATTTCTTCTTTTGAATTTTTACACTAGGGAGACTATACCATATTTACACATGTGGGTCTGGTTTATTTCACTTATGAGTATGTCTTCATGTGGCATACACTTATCTATGATGTTTTTGAGTTTATCATTCTTTGTAGCTCCATTGCATAAAAATACCACAGCTTTTTCTTCCATTCCTCAGGTGACCAGAGTTTTGGTTGCTTCCAAGATTTGGCTATAAAAATTGTGCTGTTATAAACATAGTTACACATATATCACTATGATATGATGTTTTCAGATCTTCTGGGAAAATTCTCAGTAGGGGAATAGCTGGTCTGAATGAAATTTTCATTCCTAGTATTTTAAGGAGTCTCCACACTGATTTCCATAATGGTTGCACCAGTGTACATTCCCCCCATCAGTGGAGAATGGTGTCTTTTTCACCACAGCCTATCCAACATTTGTTGTTCATTGATTTCTTTATAATAGCCATTCTTTCTGGGGTGAGATG